GGTCTCCACCTCTTCCGAATCACCCGTCAGCCTTCACGACGAGCCTTCGGAAGCGATCCTCCAGCGCTACGACGCAGACCAGGGCGCCAACGTTGTATATATCAATGGCCCTCACTCGTACGTCCCCAAGCAGCAACACGCACTTCCGCTGTACGACACCCAGCCCTCGAAGAAGGTCAAGACCTCGGCGGGCGGCATCTTCAGCAGGATGTTCGGCCAGACCGGCGCCTACGCCGGCCGCCAGACTACCTATTAATGCTATTCGCTACCCTACCACCCTCGCTTCAACAGCCTAACGACTTTCCTTATTGTTCCCCAATGACATGATCTGATGAAAAGATGCTCACTGGATGGACATCTCTTCGCCCATCTCGTCATCTCTTCTTGCATTGGCCGGCGTTATAACACAATCTCAGCATTTGCATAGCACAGCATTGTACCGGCGTTGGGATATCACTCAAATCGGAATCTTGAATCGCATCTATATTGCGATTCTCGGCGCGACCGCCTCATAGTAGTTTAGCTCTCTTATAGCTTTCTCACAGCCCACAAATAACTATATACCGCGGGTCCTCTGACTTGTCAGATATCTTCGCGAGTAATGGGAAAAAGGAAAAATAAAACATTTTGTTCAAAACACAATTCTTCCGTCTCGTGTTGTTTCCGTCTCCGTCTCGGAAAGTATATTCTTGGCAACGGGCGTTCTCCTCTGTCAGTGTGATTGAATGACTCTCCCTCCCGTGTATCCCTTCGCGGTTCGCAATTTCCGTAAATTGGGGTCTGACATGCGCGCTAGTGTGTGGGACGGGTATCTTATCTAGCTAGTGCGGACGGATTTCACTTACAGATAGGTCCATGGTTTGGTGGCGCACGCTCTTTCTTGACGCGATTCATCAATACGCGGCTTTGTCCAATATTTCTCGCATCGCATGATGTTTCTCATGCCGCACCCAAACAGGGCGATCTAATCGCTGTGCGGTAATTCGCGCGATGCGGAAGATGAGCAAGCAAGACTGCATACAGGGTACAGCACGATACTCAGCTAGGCATAAAATCTTGTATCGACATACATACACAGCATGAAATACACCGGTCACTACTTCTACACAACTCAACAGTACAGCCACAACGCCATGCGAGACCTCAGTAAAATGCATACTCGCCAACTTGCGATGATATCCAGTCGTTCTGCCTTGTACGACACCTTCTGCGGGCCGCATGCGCAGCCACAATAGGCTGACCACCTTGCCGACCACACATGACACTTCATACGAACAACTGCACCTGTATACCTGCTACAGAGCCACCGCAGCCAATATATCTCCAGCTGAACAATGAGTTTGAAGACGGCTGAGTCGCGCCGGTCAAGCAGGAAGGCTGCCTCACAACCTCCATGCACCCTCGTCATGTTCGGATCCGAGTCCAATACACCCCACCCACCGGCATCAGCATCAGCAAACCTGGGAAGACGCCATGCGCATGTCCCACATCTAACCCGTAACCCGTAACCCGTAACCAGGACTGCAGGAATCTTTTACCTCGGCATCTATCTCTCCTATCTAAGCTACCTATCCCTTGGTGTAAATCCACAAAATGCCAGATAGCGATGGATGGCACGGCAAAGATGGCAATATACGATATGCAGGAGTCAAGGAGCTTAGGGGGCCCGCGTAGATCAAACGGGTTCTGAGTGGCAGGAGAGATGCGCTAGGCCTGGTTTGGGTATGGTGGGGGGTTTCAGGTGGGTGGCTTGGCGGTAGGGTGTTTGGGTGTGGTTGGTCGGTTCGTCCAACCGAGGAGGAGGGAGGGGAGTTGTGATGGTCGGTATTTGTTGGAATTTGGGATTGGTGAGTTGGTGGGTTGGGTGGATGGCGTTGACGCGTTTTTAGGTGCGCATGCAATTGCGCGTTGGAAGTTGGAGGTGGAAACTGGAGATCGTAGGTGGTGATGTCATCGACGGTCGTGATCGGGTGGGTCTCAGTGTGCGACGCGGTCGCGTTATGTGTTATGCACGATACTCTTCATCCTTCTCAACATACTCGAGCTCACGCGTTCCAGCTTATTGGTCAGACAACGACGTGCTCCAATTTTCTTGCGATGCGCCAGATGAACCGTTCACCGGGTTTCAATGGCGCAACACCTTGCGGCTCCCAGAGCTAGGTACCTGGGACACTTCATCTACGATTCCCAGGCACCTTCGGCAGTCAACGTCCGATGCTGAGTTAGCAGAAGTCCTATACCGTTCAGTGCATACGAAACTGCACAATGCTTTAAGCCCTATATTCATGCTGCGCTCCTCCATCGAGTAACACGCATTACCTGCCAACCCGACAAGAGCAACACAAGAGCGCAACAAGGAGAACCCGTCGTCCTTCAGCTGAATATCTGCACAATAACGATATCTCGTCCTTGTATAAGATCATGCACATCCTCAGAATTATGTGAAGACTTACCGCATGCAGCCACGATCACAGTGGATCCTTCGTCTCAGGCATGAAATCTCGCCGCACCTGATACAACAACTGTCAACACTTGCCTGGTAACACGGGTAGCCTGGCATGCCAATGCCAAACACCTCAACCACCGTCTAAGATGGCCAACATGAGGATTCCTTTCGCTTTTTGCATCTCGTTCGCTCGTTCTCCATCCACCTTGAAGGGTTTTCGTTCTTTTCGTAACCGCTGGCCGGTCCCTTTTTCGCTCGTTTTTTTTTTTTCTAATCTTTTGTAATGGTTCGGCAATTCACCTTCTTACCGGGGGATCGGAGGGATACGGGAGATGATGGCAGGACGGTGCGGTATAGCCATTGGGGTCGGTATAATACTTTCTACGGACTCTCCTTCACGACGACGCTTTCAACGGTCCTTTTGCTGGCGCAACTCAACGAATGTAGGGTTACCGGTCAGCTCTTCACTCTTGCGAATAGGTTCCCAGGATCCGCTGCGTTGGTCGTACAGCTTCTCGCCGCCTTCTTTGGACTTTTGCATCTCGCGGTTATCTGCAAGCTTATCAACTATGCGCTTCGACTGCGGCTCAACAAAGTCAGCGTTTCCCTGGATGTGTTGCGCACTTGGGTGGATATGAGCATCATGCGCGTGGATTGGGACTTGCCTCTACGGTTCTTCTTCCCCTCCGTCTTTGTCGTTCTTCTCAGCCTTGTGCCTGCGGCGCTCTGGGCTGGTTCGATGACACCATCAGTATCGCGGACGGTAGACAGCGGAATGCTTTTGATCCCAAGCTACGAGGACGTATCGATGATCAAAGAGTATCCAATGATGATTGGTAGTTCGGGACCTTCACTGCGCACGCAAAAGGGCTTCTTCACGTACTCGGTTGGCCAGCAACAGAGCAGTCAGCTTCTCGCATCAGCGGCTCAGGCGTCTTCTTTGGGTGGCGGGCCTCATGTCCATCGCAAACTCGACAACACTCAATTCAGCTATCGAGGCCGTTCTTACGGTGTCGGCGCATCTATCGGACTCATGGACCAAGGAATCAGGTCGAACAGCCAGGTTGCGGGATACATCTACCAAGAGGAGGGCTATCTGGCAAACGTCACCTGCACGTACAACGCAACTTCCAACTTCACCCTTTCTGGCCCCGTCAACGAATGGATCTATGCGGCTTCCGGTAATTTGCCTGACAGTGAAGAAGGCCCGGAATACTCAAACTACATTGGCCACGACGGCAAAGCCATCGTAGCGATGGGCGTAGCGTACAGCGACCGTTCACCCCGCCGCTACCTCGCCATCGCTGCTGGTTCAGCCTACTCCTTCCTCAACACCACGCAGTGCGAATTCGACTTCACACCCACCCTCTTCAACGTCACCGTCGACGTCGGCAATCTCAACATCACCGTCAAGCCCGTGCGCACAATGCCCGATTTCAATCCTCAGCGAAACGTCACGCGCACTGTTGTGCGGCAGTTTGAGCTCATGTCTAACGACATGACGAATCTGTATGTTTCGCTGCTTGGCGAAGCGTTCAACTCCAGTATCGCGGCATACAAGATGGCAGAGACGTTCAATAATCGGACGTTCACTGAAGAGGAAGCAACCCTTGCGGGTCTCACGAATAGCATGGTTGCTATGGCTGATGACATGTTGGTCGCGTACGCGTCAGCGCAGCTCATGGTTGGACGCATGTTCACTCAGCAACCAGCGAAGGTCTACGTCTATGCGCTGCAGTTTGGTCAACCGAGTTATATCTACGCTATTTTCACGCTTAATCTCGTTATCATCCTCGCTGTTGTGTTTGAGGCTGTGCGCACAGCAGCGTGGTCTGCGCTCGGCCGCTTCAACTATCTCGATCCACGTGATCTCATTGTCGCTGCATCGAGAGGCGGAGGCGACATCGCAGCTGCAGCCGACGACATCATGGAGCGAAGAGAAGGGAGGAGGATGAAACATATCTGGCTATTAAGCGATCCCGACGGAGGCAACGGGTCCCTCATCGTCAATTTACGGGGCGACCAAGACGGACACGTCAAAATCGAAGTGGGCGCTGGACAATGCAACAGAGACGCAGAGAGCGCATACCCGCCAGACGAGAAGAGCATGTATGTGGAACATGGCGCTGAGACAGAGCGGGGGCCGCTGACACCCAAGACACCTATGAAGATGAAGGTTGGCATTTTCGGATCAAAGCAATAGAAGACATGGGCTTGAGACATTGCTCAGTGTTCGGCGCTTGGTGCGCTTTGTGGAAGTGGGTGAAAGAAGATGCGTAGATCAGTTAATGAGACTTTGTTGAGACTTTGTGGTTTGGTCAGATGATGAGCATGTGTGGACTGGAGTGACTGACGTGGGAACGTGACGGAGGAGGGGAGGTGAGGAAGTTTGGGCCAGGGGATGGGGGATATAAGAGGATGAAGAAGTTCGTGATGAAGTGGATATCAACGCATCATCACATCTTCACTGCCATCTCACAATACCAGCACAACAGCATTCCAACCCTTCTTATCATCAAACCACCAACAACCACCCTCAATCATCTCACCAACAATGTCCTGTTCACGCGTCAACCTCAGCGCTACCCCCTCCCACTCCCGCGGCACTCTCCTCGCAAAACTCAACTCCTTCTTCCGGGAGGCCCAAACGGACTCCCCACCCTCCCCCCACGAGTTCGACGCCTGGTTCTTCGCTCTCACCATCGATGATCGCGCAATCGTCCACGACATCCTCCAACCGCTACACACCAACTGGCCCAGTCAAGTTGAATACCCCAACGTTATCGCGCTGGTACACTGGCTGCGTGAGCACCGTGCCGAGTACCGTGCAGAACGAGCTGCTGCCGTTGCGGATGGCGTTGTCACGCCGGAGGTAGAGGGAGGAGACGAGAACTTGACAGTGGACGGGGTCATGAAGATGATTGAACAAGTCTTGGCAGCTCAGCAGGAAGAAGCGGCAGCCACGCCTACCGTACCTGAGCCCGAACCTCCCGTTTCTGAACCCACCTGCCCTGGAGCTGTCGACGAGGAGCCGCAGCCGCAGCCCATTCATCCTCGCCCATATCCTGTTGATGGAATGGATGTTCTGGCCGTTCTCGTCATGGTCTTGGCTCCGGCATGCTTGGTACGTCTCCTGATGATCTTGTTTCTGTTCACGGTTATCCGACAGGCCTCTAATGGTATGCGACGTCTTTAGATCGGCGTGGCATTGCATCGGCGTTGGTTCCGGTAGTTTCTGAACTTCAGTGTTTGGGTTAGAACTGCTTTGAGGATTTGATTGGAGTTTGCGTGGTTTCTTGGTTTTCTTGTCTTACAAACACTCGCTGGTAGACTGACTGGGTTTCGTTGTTGTCTTTCATTCAGAGGTGTTCTCGTGGTTTCTTGTGGTTTTTTTGTCTTTGCAAACATGTCTTGGTAGGCGTTGTTGGAGTTGGGAGTGTTCTTTCTTGTGGTTGCAAACGTAGACAATAGACAAACCGGAGAGATTCGGGATATAAACGAGCTACTTCCTGTGTATGAGTGAGTCTTCATCCGATAGCATCATCCAGCATACAAGAACAACTCACAACAACCACCAATCTCAACAACCCAATACCAACAATGTCCAACAACAACAACAACACCACCCCCGCCAGCGACGCCACCATGGCCGAGCGTCTAGCCTACTACGAGAAGTCCTGCAAGCGAGCAGAGAAGCGTATCGAGAAGAAGAAAGCCCTCGTCGCCAAGTTGGAGGAGGAATACGCGGCTCTTCAAGAGCAGCTCACCGAAGCCAGGCTTGCACCGAATCTAGACATGGAGCGCATCGTAGTCCTGGATGCGGCGATCAGAGCGAACAATGCAGAGCTTGAGACTGAGGCTGGGCGACACGAGCAACTGTGCGAGGACTACCAGAAGCTGATCGACATGAAGAACGGGTCGGAGGCGGAGTTCATCGCTCGTGTTGCGGAGTATATGGATAAGGAGGCGGAGCGTGACGGTGGCGATGGCGAGGATGGAGAGGGTAAGGGAGAAGGAGAGGAGGCTTAGGTCGGAGGATGGGGTCCGGGGTATGCAGATGGGGTCTGGTGGTCAGTGTAGTAGCCTGGAGTAGCTCATTGTCGCTCTCTCACTGAGGTCAGAGGCCGACTTTGGGCTTGCGCGAGGCTTTTCCTTAGAAAATACATGTCTTGACATGGAACTTGTGGGGTCATTCGCAAATTGAACGTGATACAACCTCATGATTTGACAGTGGACGTGAGCATGTTGAAAGCCAAGTGATCGCATTGAGAAGAATAATCGGCGTTGAAAGGCAAACAAAAGTACAAACGGTAAGCTATGCGAACGCTAAGGGCATGAGGTGAAAGCAAAAAGACAACCAACGATAACAACGATAACGGCGATCAAGCACCCCGGTCCACCATGTCGCTGGTCATGCACAAGCTTCAAGTACTCTCATCAAGGACCTGGTCGCAGACAGCGCGGTGCTTGATGAAGAAGACGTCCAAGCCCAACTTAGCCTTGGTACCTGAAGTGAGAAGAGCCTGGATATTGTCGCATGTTTCAGGGTGATGCGCACAGAGATCAGCGATGCAGATTGCCAGCTGACCTGTATCCATCTTGAAAACAGAGTAAGCATCGCAGGTATGAGGCCTGACCTCGGAGACCCATTCTTCGTAACTCTCGTTGTTGAGCGTCAGAATGGCGTGAAGTAGGTCGGCTGCGTCATTGCAGCTGACTCCGGGGATCTCTGGGTCGCACAGGGAATACAGGCAGATCCTTTGATCCTCAGGAGTGAAGGGAAAAGATTCGAAATCCGTCGGGAGAGATGGGTCGCTCGCGTGCATCGGCGCCGCGATAGCTCCTGCGCAAAAGCAAGTGTCGTTGAAGTGTCCGCAGAAGTCGCAGTCAGGTTCGCACTCGCATGTGGGGGCCCGGGAGATCACCGGGGCATCGATGGCTGGGTAGACTTTCTTCATCTCTTCCATGACCTCCTCGCACGGGAAGCCCATCAGGAGTGAAGCATTCACGGGGTCGCAGACTGTGGGGTATATGGCACGAGCATACGATTCCAGTGCCGATTCATCGCAATCTTCGACTCCAGTGTGGTACCTCCGGACGATGTTGCACAGTGTTGGGATTACTGAGTGATGTGGGGTTGGTAGGTGTGTTGGCTCAATGTCGTCTGGTGTGTTGCGAGCTGCAGGGACGCGACGTCTTGCCGGATAAACGACCCTGGCTAGGCATGGGCTGTTTCCTGGTTTTCGTGGCTTCTTGCAATCTGGGCAGTCTGTTTCGCGAGGTGCAGGCGCAGGTGGTGTAAAAAAGCCCCCGCGCGACGTGGTGGAGGTGGTGTCCGATGGTTCTGGCCTGTGCGGAACTACTAGTCCTGATTCGGTACTCTCTGGCCTAGGCGGAAGAATCACTGACGATGTGGACGCCGGTTTGAACCCGGGGGTGGGTTCATCAGAGAACTCAGCGGTCATGCCCATGGTATACGTGAACTTCATGGTATGAACCTCCCGCGATTCGGAACCGTCCGTGTCAGATCCGGAGTCGGAGTCGGTATCCTCTGCCACATGATCTGGAAGGTTGCCCGTGTGAACTTCAACGCTGTCTGCACCGTGGTGTGTAAGGCCAAAATATGGGTAGTCGTAGCACGACATGATATCGGCAAGAGACGTGGAATCTTTCAATGTCGTCACGCGTGGTGACGTATCGCAAAGGACCAGCTCAATGTTGTCTTTAGGGGTGCAAACATGTGTCTCAACCTTTGCGGAGCCGTAGAAGCTCTGGTGACAGCTGTGCAAGGCGATCTTGTTGTGGAAGGGGTTGCCTCGGACCGGGTCCAGGCCGACCCAGACCTTGTCTAAGGTGTCCAGGTCAATCGTGTAGGCGAAGTCCATCTCGTTGGCGCCCCTGTTGATACCTTCGAACTTGTCGGAGATCTTGATGGCAACACCAGGATTGAGGGGGGACCCAAAGTGCCATGGTTCTCGGTACTGACCATGAGGCTTGAGAGGGACGTTTTCGGTGAGTGAGCTGCTGAGCCACTGGGGTACAGACCAGATGTAGACCGTGTATGGGCAATGGTTGGTGACGATAGCTCCGGCATGAGCCAGAGCCGCGAGTGCGAGGACGAAGAAGGCTTGTCCGAGCATTGTGTTGAAAGGGTTCGGTATGAGAGATGATGCAGTCAGCAGTAGCAGTAGAAAACACTGGAGAAGGGGTTGGAGAAGAAGAAGAGACTCGGGATGGGAGGTGGGATTTATGAGCGGTAGAACGTGTGTTTACGTGTCGTCATAACGAACACAGGAAGTTGTATCATCGCCCGTTGCTGCCATAAGTTGGAAAGATTTGGGGAGGTGCGCCGGATGCGTTGGGAGGTAGCTCATGCATTTCGTGAGATCTTCCAAGCCTATTGCTACCCTAGCTTCCTGTTAGACCCCCAGAAATATCGGTGCGTAGTCATTTGGAGATGCTCCAGCTGCCGTAGCCGATTCGTAGATGCTAGCAACGTGTGGAACCATTCTTCGAGGTCCATGGTGCTTGCTCATGTAGCTGGAAGGGCGATCACGATCTCGCAAGATCGCTTTCCTGGCGCAGTAGGTCCATTTTGGAAATCGCCTTCTCCTTACCAGTATGAACTGCCACCATGTCTCGAGAAGGAGAGCACGATCAATAACCACGGTCGGTTAAAGGGAAGCTCCGGGGCCGGTATCTGGTGATCAGGAGATGAAGCGCGTCGGCGCACGGCGGTGATACTTCCCCGCCTGTGCGTGCTTTGGCACAAGGAGACTTCAGCATCGCGTTATCACCACAGAAACGGTCGCATAGGCCGCCATGCACGATGGGTGATCTCTTGAACTCCATGGTGGTGGTTGTATGGTGGGTTTGGGGTTGGTGTGGACGATGAGCACGGCAAGGGCACTCGCTTACTCAGCCCCTCACTCACAGCTTGAAGCACTCCGGCTAGCGTCCTGGAGACCTGAGGCGCGAATGAAACACTGCAAACCTCAGCATCAGCGACAGTACAATAAGAACAGAATGGCCCCGTATACTGTTTGCGCAAATTGCGCATTCTCACACATTTCACTTTTCGTTCCCGGGTAGCATTGTCGCCGTATTACCTACTTTCAACGTCCGATTCGCGTCCAAGCCCCAACTACGCGCCGACGCGCCCCACCATCCTCCATGATTCAACAATCCTCTTGTATCGACATGCCCACCATGTCTTCCTCAATAAGGGAAGTTCCCGTACAGCTACCGAAGAGCTTCGACCGACCCGACGAGCCATGGCACCACTACATCAACGTCGATCTGATATGGTACGTCCTCGGATACACGGTTTTCCATCCGTTCGTATCATGGGTCGTGGTCCTGTGCCTGCGCGCGCAGTACACGCCTTATGAGAACATTGAGATGCGCATTGCCATGGCTTGGGCTATGCTCATGACCGTCACCGGCATCTTCGGACTCATCAGTGACCGGATCGCATGGGGATCACCGCGCGAGGTAGACCTAGAGGAAGAGGTTATTGTCATAACGGGCGGTGTTGACGGTCTGGGTGGACTATTGGCAGAGACGTATGGAATGCGCAATGCCAATATCGCCGTCCTAGACATGAAGGAGGTCGACGAAGATGAGGCGGAAAACAAGGGCGTGGTTTACTACAAGTGCGACGTGAGCGATGCGAAGCAGGTTGAAGCTGCCGTAGCCAAGATTGTCGACGACGTGAGTATTCCTCTGCTAGGAGACCATACTTTGCTAACGAGTATAGCTCGGCGCTCCGACGATCTTGATCAACAACGCTGGTATGGTGCAGACCAAGTCAATCCTCGACTCAACCGCTGAAGATGTGGAGCGGTATGTATACTCTGTAATTCTTATTGACATCTACTGACACCTAACCAGCACCTTCCGCGTCAACACCCTGTCTCAATTCACCACCCTCCGTACAATCCTCCCGCACATGCTGAAGGAAGGCCGCGGCACCATCGTAACCGTTTCCTCCGTTCTCGGCCACCTCGGCGCCGCCAACCTATCCGCATACACAGCTTCGAAAGCGGCCCTTCTGGCGCTGCACCACTCGCTCCGCGCGGAGCTTGCACAAAACCCCGCCGCAAAGGACATTAAGACAATCCTCGTACAACCGGGTCAGATGGGCACAACCATGTTTGCAGGCCTCAAGACCCCAAGCAACTTCCTAGCGCCTGTGGTTACGCCTGCCGATATTGGAAAGGATATCATCAAGCTGATTGAGCGGGGTGAGAGCGGTGAGATTGCGCTGCCTCTGTACTCAAAGTATATCCAGATCCTTGGTGTACTGCCTGTCGGCGTGAATCATCTTGTGCGGAAGTGGAGTGGCATGGACAAGGCTGTTGGAAAGATGGGTGAGCTGAGGCAGAGGCAGAGTCTGGCCGAGAAGAAATAATAGGCTGTTGATACCCACGATCTAAAGACCTTCATACGCGGATGGTCTCGGATTAATGTACAATACACGCTCATGATCTACGCGACTTAGTGTAATATGCGACTCCACTGGTGTCTTTGTTTCAACCTTGCGATTACACTTGCTATAGTGTATTACCATTACGGCATGCGTCCGCATCACGGAAATAATCGTGCCAGTGTTCACATGTGAACGATGGTTTGCGGGGACCACTAGCGCCGTAAGGCTGATCTTAGCGAGCGCTCGCACATCTCGACCCTGAAATCGCGACGACGACATCATCATCATCACCACAAGTAAACGTAAGAAGATACCCGGCTATTCTGTTTGGTCTAGCAAATTTGCATGCGACACATACTAATTGACTACCAGACTTCCTCTGCCTCAAATCAACACAATGGCCGACCAGAAAGCATCCAAGTACTACGCTGCCGAGGAGGAGGCGCAGATGAAGAAGGTATGCGCATTTCGCGATGAATTTTGAGCTGTGGAAAAGACACACAAATGCGTCTGTTGGAGTTGTCGCGAATATCAAGCTAACAACCCAATTCACAGGCGCGCAAGACAGCCCACCCCACCAAGTACCGCGAGTCGCTCGCCCCAGGAACCGTCCTGATCCTCCTCTCCGGCCGCTTCCGCGGTAAGCGCGTCGTGCTCCTGCGCCAGCTCGAACAAGGCGTCCTCCTCATCACCGGCCCCTTCAAGTCCAACGGCGTCCCCCTGCGTCGCGTCAACCACCGCTACGTCATCGCGACCTCCACCGTCGTCGACATTGCCGGTCTGGACGAGGAAGTCGTGTCGCGCGTGAGCAAGGACGAGTACTGGGCGCGCGAGAAGAAGGACGGCAAGGGCGAGGACGACTTCTTCAAGGACGGCGAGACACCCGCAAAGAAGGAGACGGATCCTCAGCGGATAGAAGACCAGAAGAAGGTGGACAAGGCGCTTATGGCTAATATTAAGAGGACTCCGGATCTGGAGTCTTACCTGGGTGCTAGCTTCGCGTTGAGGAGCAGCGATAGGCCGCATGAGATGGTCTTCTAGGCGTCGGCACGAGACCGGGGCGAGAACGAGACGAAAACGAGGCGGATATCTGCGGCAACGGTCCGGCCGGGAACGACGGTTCGAACGAGGATGAACACCCGGACGCCACGAGCGATACGGTACGATTTCATATGTAGATGAGATACCCATGAACCAAAATTTGAGCACCAACTCCGTCTTGCTGGCATCTCCGCGAATGATTCCAGTTACCCTGGCAATTTTCATTCCGCTAACACGCCTCCTTGCATGGGGGTCGCAATTGATATCGTAATCGGTATGGGTTGTTGGTTCGCTATTTTCTGTTTCGATACTGACCTTGTCCAGATCTATGTACTGCCATCCAATCGCAGTGCCTGCCTGACATCATCTGTAGTACATCTTTGTGCCTGGATCTGTGTAGCTGTATACAACGTATGTACCCCTCACTTACAGCGACAGGCTCTACGAAAGTTATTCCTGGCCCTGGGCTGTACCCGGCCTCTACAGGCAGGTATGACGATCTACATCTTTTGAACTGACGAATAGTACATCGTTTTTCGCTGATGGTGTGGACCAACTGCAGATGAAAGCGTTTCAATTAGCGTGCCAATGTGGCACAGTTGTACACATGTCCCGGTCTGCAGTACCCCTCCGTATCAACGCAGTACACCATCGCGGGGGTACTTGCGGTCTCAACCTCTGGCAGCCTTGTTAAGCAGCCTGAGCCCGTAAATTGTGTCGGCCAATACTCTACTCAAATCACTTCTATCGTTCCTACTTTCCCACAACCATGGAGAAACGGCTACTCAACGAACAAGAAAAGGACTCGCAGCCATCGCAGCCCCCACATCCATCCTCGTGGAGAACCGGGTTCTGGCGCCGCTTTCCCCATTCCGGAATTTTCGCCCTTGTCACCGCGCTGGCTGCGTCGGTCAGCATGATATACATCATCACCGCCTCAGATGGACAGCCTATTACCTCTTGGAAGTACCAGCCCACCGTTTGTCTCGCCATCTCGTACACGATCGCCAATATCGCCTTGCAATACGCCCTCGCCCAAGCTGTCACTATCGCCTGGTGGGCGAAAGCCCTGAAGGGCGACGCCAAAGTTAAGGATCTGCACGATATATGGGCATTTGGGCATGGAGTCTTTCCGATATTGCGATCGGGACGGTCTTTCAATCTTGTCGCTTTGGCTGGACTCGCTGTTACGCTGGCGCCTATCAACGGACCTCTTTTGCAACGCGCTTCTGTCATTCATGAGCGAACGCGGATTGAGATGAAAAACATCACTATAGATATCGCCAAGGAGGTTCCGCCAGGCTACACTGCATCGGCAACTGCGCATGGGCAACCGGAAATATTGTCTGCCGATTTTAGTGTAATCACCAAAGAACATTCCGGAGGGAGTCCCATGCATGTAGCAAACGCAGGCTGTCTCGGTGTGTGCAACGGTACGATACTGGGCGCAGGGTACGACATAAATTGTACTCGGGATACCACTGAGCCATACAATGCTTCTGCGATCGACCCGGGTTACGTCGTGCCCATAAACCTTTTCTGGTCGAACTTCAGTCATGCAGCTAGGGATCATGAGGCTCGAGATACCAAGGATTACTTGTTTCAACCACCTGGAAGCTCAGTAATCTCTTACGGAGCGATGTTCAAGGGAGACCAAACATGTGTTGGCTCCATGAACAGGACCTATTGCGCCATGCGTCCCGCAACTATCGAATACCCTGTTATGATCACCAATGATACCATCACTCTTGACCCGCGCAGTACATGGGAATCGGATGTAACTCGATCTCTTCTCCCAACGTGGCTTGGGTCTCCGGGTTCTATTCAGACCAGTACTCATGGCGGCGTGGACCTTTACATGGACGCCGTGTGGGATTCGAACATGAAAGTATATTATAGCGGCGGTGGTCCTGCCGGTTGGAGGGTCATGACAACCGGTACGACGGTGCTTGGATATCTGGCCGACTTTGTAGGCAAGAACGGGTCTATTGAACTATTCTGCAACATGAGCCTGCCGGATCCAACGCCTAATGTCTTGAAATCACTACGCGAGATTGCCTTTCGTATGGCGCTATACATACCGCACTCAAGGGGGATGCTTTTCAAGACAGACATAGAAAGATCTTCTCTTCAACAATGGCCCAAATCAGAGAGGGAGGAGGGTATTTTCCAGCAGACAATCGAAGTCGAGCAGACCGCGACCGAAATCGTGTTCAAGAGTCAATACCAATTCCTCGCCATTGCCATCGGCATCACGCTCGTAGCCACGGCCTGTGTTTTCACAGTATTGGCGGGATGGTGGCATCTAGGCCGCGAGGTCTCGCTTTCACCAATCGAAATCGCAAAAGCCTTCAATGCGCCGCTTCTTGCAGAGTCGCACCCTAACGCAGAGGTCAGAAGGCTGCTCAAGGAATGCGGCGAGCAACGGTTGAGGTACGGTGTAGTGTGGGAGAATCCTGACTATCCCGTGACTTCGATACCGACGCTGAGATTGGAGAAGACGGAGCTTTGTGAGAAACCGCGTAATAGACAGGTGTTAGGTCATTAGCCTTATCTGTGCGCAAGAACCACAACAGATCATCAGAAGGCGACTTTTGGTGTATTCAGATTCATGCATCCAAATAATCCGTCGCTCTCGTGTTTCCTCGATCGTTCGGATGACGTTTGCACCTCGTGGCAGCACCTGCCCTGTAAGAGAGTGCGGTGGCGTCATGTGGGATGAGGCGGTGGCTGAGACTTCCTACAACTGCTCATGTACTACCTCGCGACCACTCCATCCAGCGAACCCCGTTTCCTTGGCGATGAGATGAAATCATCCATGTGGATACCATCAGGCCATGCGATAAGGTACCCAGGTAGTGACAACGCCACAGCATGACCTCACTCTCGTGCCAGCTAGATGTCAGCCACACTCAACCTCGACATACACTCTATTATACCTTTACCTACGCACTCTTTTGCCGAGTGATAACGGTCCGATGCGTCCTCTTCAGGAACTGGGCCAGGATGCCAGTGGCCACGCCAGTCCCAGTAATCACGAAACAAGCGGTTCTTTCAGTGGCACTACTCATAGCGTTGTCTCTGATGATAGCGCACACGATGTACGTAACTGCCTCGACGTGGGAAGAGTTGCAGCTAAAAGCATATGACAGGAGAAGCTCGTACAGTTCCTGACATCATCTACTCTTGATGAGACCAATACTAGTAGTTTGCTCAAAACGTTCTGTAGGGACATGGAACAGCCGGTGTATTCATCACTAGGGGGTCGATGTAGGTTCGCCTTGCTCCGTCTCGTTCTCCAATACTGACATGAGCCAGACAAGTATCGATCCGCTGATGGGAGCAACAACAACATCCACCTGCCTAACGTCGGTAAGGCTGGTTCTTACTACGCGCGCATGGTCACTCCAAGACATATACCTACAAAGCTTCCCGATCCAGAACTGCTCTTCGATACACTGCTCGCGCGAGAAGCCAAGCCAAAGCTCCACCCCACCCAACTATCGAGTCTGTTCTTTGCCTTCGCGGCTGTCATGGTATGCGATGTGTTTCGTACAGGCGACGAGGATAATGATGTGGCTATGACATCTTCATACTTGGACCTATCGTCACTATACGGGGAATCAGAGGAATCACAGAGCTCTGTCCGCACCTTCGTCGATGGGAAGTTGAAACCTGATGCTTTCGCTGACACAAGGATCCTCAGCCGACCAGCAGCGGTAAGATACGAGCTCAAGTCTGTTGTGCAATTGCTCATTATCGGTAGTCCTCTGCCCTGATCGTATGCTTTTCGCGGTTTCACAACATCGTTGTCGAGCAACTGGCCATCATCAATGAGAACGGTCGATTCAGCCCTCCCTGCAACGCGGCTGGAATCGACACTGGGTTTTACAAGCGAGCTCTCAGCAAGCGTGACAACGACCTCTTCCAGACTGCACGGCTGGTAACGACGGGATTATACATCAACATCGTTCTGAAAGACTACGTGCGCACGATTCTCAATCTACAGTGCGTAGATTCTTCGGTGACCTCGGATCCGCGAGCAAAAATAGAGGGTATTATCGGGCAGACAGACGTTGATAAGGCTCGCGGCAACCAGACAAGCGCCGAGATCAACATGATATATCGGTGGCATTCGACCATATCGAAGAAAGACGAGGACTGGCTCACAGAACACATGTCCATGATATGTCCAGATATGAAAATTGGCCACCTGACATTGGAAGACATGCGAGCTGGCATGCGTCGACATGCTGCTATACCGCCTGCGGATCCTGGTCGGCGTGTCTTCGCTGGTCTCGAAAGGAAGAACGACGGTTACTTTCGCGATGAGGATATCGTTCAGATACTTACAGAAGCCACGGATGAAGTCGCCATGAGCTTTGGTCCACACCGTGTCCCTCTGGCGTTGAAGGTCATCGAAGTAATGAGTATTGAACAAGGTCGGCAGTGGGGCGTGGCTTCTCTCAATGAGACCAGAAGATTCTTCGGGATGACGTCTCACACCTCGTTCAGCGATATTCACTCCGACCCTGACGTCGCTGCCGCGCTCGAAGTCTTGTACGAAGATGTTGAGAACGTCGAGCTATATGCCGGAACTATTCTGGAAGAGCCAACTGCCCCGATGACTCCGGGATCAGGTCTGTGTGCAGGAACGACGGCGACCAGAGCAGTGGTGTCACATGCGCTCTCTCTTATTCGGGGTGATCGATTCTACACCGTGGACTACACCCCGCACCACCTGACAGCTTTTGGGTTCAACGCAGCTTCCAGCGAATACTCAATCGATGGCGGAGGCGTCATGTACAAGTTACTGATGAGAGTCTTTCCCGAATACTATCGTGGCAACTCGATTTACGCGCACTACCCGCTGACCACGCCTGTGGAGATGAGACGACGACAGAAGTCTCTCGGGCACGAGACAGATTTCTGCTATGAGAAGCCGCGCTACGGGTCGCCTCCCACAGTCATCACCGATTACAAGATGATCCTCCGTATTCTTCGTGACCAGACTTTGTACACGACAGCGTGGACTCACACCCTGCGGCAATTGGAGTATCAACCACATGTTCTGCTTGGTAACACTATCGCTGCTGTCAAACAGCAGGACATCATTCGGCAAGCTATACTCGGCCCCGAGGAGTCGATAGAAATCTTTGCGCACTTCCTCAACCTGAAGACCACCCAGCTCGTGCAGAACAACAGCAAGTGGCTTTTCAAAGTTGCCGAGATAGATGCGATCAAAGACGTGGCAGCTCGCAGTTGGACACAATTTGCTGCGTGTCTGTTCAACATCCCGATCAGCGACTCGCAAGATTCAACGGCCAGCTTTGATGACAAGCAGCTCTTCAGCAAGATGATAGCAGTATTTCACTTCGTTCATCTAGACAACAACCCTGCGAAGTCTGCCGCATTGCGGAGGGATGCAATCACTGCAAGCGATGAAATGTCGAAAGAGGTCAGGGTTGTTTGCGAAGGAATGAAAGCATCACCCGCTGTGCAATTTCCGGATCCCCGTAAGCGACGACATGCGAAGCGCAATCTCATGCCAGACCATGGAGCGAAAGTGATGCAACGGCTGTTCGATAATGGGGCAAAGGTCAAAGAAGTTGTCTCTCTAGTGGTCATACTTGCCGTAGATCTTGTCGTGTTCAGCACCTTTGCTGTAAGTCTACAAGTCGTTTCAAGCATTCGCCCCGGCTGACCATTACTAGTTCTGCCAAATCATCGATCTCTTCCTCTCGGAACCTTACCATTCTACGCACTGGCCGGACATCCAAAAACTGGCGAAAGACATCACACCAGCAAACTCCGAGGTACTGCGCGCATACGTGCTTGAGGCTCTGCGCCTTATCACACCCGCAACTGGCTTCCTCCGCATCCCTAACACCTTTCTCACTACTAGCGACTGGCGGCACGCAGAGGGTATAAACAAGGGTGACGACCTTATCCTCGACGTGGCAACCGCATCTCGCGACCCCGCTGTCTTTCCTGACCCCGACAACATCAACCTCGATCGTCCGCAAGAGCTGTACCTACCTTTCATCGATGGGCTACACGGAGCACTGACCAGGCCTATTATCGTTGCTGGTTTGGTCACCCAGTTGCGTATCTTTGCACGAATGGAAGGCCTCAGAAAGGGCCCGGGTACGCAAGAAACGTTGAGGCGGGAGGTTCAAGAGGGTACTGTGAGCTTTTTGAGCGAAGCTAAGGATGAGTGGGTGCCACTGCCAGTCAGTAAGTACATATTCGCCACATGAACTGTTTGTGAGCATTCTAATCATGAAGAATAGGCATGCGAGTTCACTACGACACCTTCGATCCTACTGCATGCGCGACCTTGGCATGATGAGTACTATGATGGACATCATATGATTGAAAGAATGATACCTAGGTAGAGACGCCACACCTCCAACCAAACGAGTTACATAATAGTCTCAAAGATGTATCCTTAGTCTCCTACTACTATACCCCCGCTTTTCTTCACATTTGAATCCCGCAACTCGTTCCACATTGGTCATACATTCACTCTAAACCCTTTAGCCCCGCATCTAAGTATTGGGATTGAACCAATCGCCATGCCTAAAATAAGACTCGCAGTAGTAGTACTCGTGACGATTCTCGTCATGAAATGCGCATAATGTTCCGCAGCTACATCTCGGAGGCCTATTGGAGGATTAGTATACGTCTGACACAAATCACAGGTACCTTGTTACTCACAGTTCCTCATCCGGGGTATCAAGAATGACTTTCAACGCCGCTTCCTGGTCGTGATGGCGCTGGCCCTTGAAGATCGCCTCCCACTTCCCTTTCGTGACCGTCTTCACAGCACCGGTCAACGTCACCGTTAATCTCTCCCCCAAGCTCTCTTCCTTGCACTTATTAATCAGGAAGGGATACGCGAAGGTACAAATCCAGTCTACTATCATACGCTGACAGCAAATGTAATCCTCTCCTCCATACCGAGGCAATCGATGTTTATCGGGTCTACAGCCCCAGGGGCTGCCCTGGTAGCCGTCATATGGTGTCCGAAAGCGGAGATGTAAGTCACGGAGGTTGTCAAGCTTTTGAAGACAAGAACCCATCGACTCAGAAGTAGTAATCTCGATCGGAGAATAAAGCAGACTAACGCCGAAGAACTCAAACCACTCCACATTCGTGAAGTTCAACTCGATCTTACTCAGATGCTGGTAAGCCATCGCTGGACCTGCCCAGGCCTTAATGGCTAGAACGAACAGGTCTGGTGTGAAGAACCGGCTACGCATTCGTACCCAGGCGAAATGGAGGAACTCGTTGCGGATCGTGGAGTTCACTGCCGAAAGCGAGAGACTCGGTTTGTGCACAGGAGGTCGATCTTCCGGCACACGGTTTTCATCCCATGGGGACGCCAACAATGCCTCACCCTTTAGACGCATAAATAAACCGGGGTGATAGCCCAGCCCCAGCGTTAGCTGAGCTTCAGATTCCGGCTCTCCATCGGGCCAGAAGCAGGTGTACTCTTCAGCGGTGCACAAACTGTTCAGCGGATATACTTCACCACCAAGCGCGGCCTTATAGATCTTCTCTCGTATCTCGGCAGGAAAGTCTTCGAAGCGACCTTTGCTGCCCTTGCTCTTGTACCACTTGAACTGCAAGTGATGCCCAAGGCGACCGAACCATTCGCGCGACTTAATATTCTTCGCGAGCCAATCACCGAAAGACACCCACTCCTTCTTGTCTGTCTCATAGATGTGGATAGTCTCGGCAGTTGGCGGCGAACCATTCGGCAAGATGGTAACCCATTTCGCCTGTTTCACGCTGTCTTTCTCAACGATTTCAAAGTAGTAAGACTTGATATTGAAGAGATTCATGTAAGGCGGCCACAGCGGAGGCGCGTCATTGACAGGCCGAATATTGACTCGCAGGGCGAAGGCAGCGAAATTGCGCTTCTTCGGCCTGTTCATTGTGTGATACATCGCAGCGAGTACGGGGTCGTTGAAGTGCCATCCTTTGTTGAACTCGTACGTGGTCTCGTCAGTGAAGCGGCCGACTTGTCCATCGCGTGGACATTGCATCATCTCGAGCGCACAGGTGATCTTGTCGTTGCGCGCATCGTGGAGGACGCGGTTGTACTTGCGAGGACGCTTTGCGAGATCGTCGTCGGCTGGAGGATCAAAGATTGCTAGGCGGCTTAGGAAGAAGGTTGGTGCTGCTGCGTTGAGCTTGGAGGACTTGACGGGTACGAAGGGGGGCGCTGTGGCGGTGAGCTTTGAGCTCTTTGCAATATCAGTGGTTCCGAGGGAGTTGTCAGGGTCGAGTTCGTGGGTAGCGGAGTCGATAGTAGCCGAATTCGAGGGAAGAGTGTTGCACTCGTGTTGCCAGTGCTCGTAGGAATCATATGCTAGGCTAAAGGGAGTCATCTCGAAGCCGCTCGAGTGTTGTTGGACGGGGTAACCGTGATAGCCGACGAGCGAATGTGCATGGTAATTCCAATACTGAGACGGTACAAACAGCGGTATCCGAGGAAGAGTAGGACTAGTCATGTCGTGTTCGGTACCTGACTGCGAGTGGTAGTCAGGGTCGAAAGGCTCAGTGGAGCGACCAAAATCAGCCATTTCGGACATTGTGTTGGAGTTGAGGAAGTTGATGGGCCTTGCAGTTGAGTGTGTTTGATAGACTAAGGCTTGATAGATCTAAGCATAGGCACAGGGAGGTGATACTAGCGCCAAATAATGGGGACGGTCTGTGCATTTTGCTGTAGGCAGTAGTAATAGGGAATAGAGTGGCGTATACAGAGGCTTTGTTTTGCTTTCTCCCATTCCTTCCGTATTAATAGGGCTACTGAACATACAGAACGGCTGGTCAAAACACCTAGTGCATTGATCTTGGCAACACTAGGTTTGCTAGGCCACCTGTACGCAATGTTGAAGCCGTGTTTGTTGAAGGCGTGTTTGGAGCCGACGAGCAGCTCGGAGCGCAATGAAGCCTGGTGAAGTAATTTGTTGATATCTTTAACATCTTGGAAGCTAGCGTTAAATTCCATGTAGCGAATAGATAAGTAGGATTCATGTTCAAACCCGTCTGGTTCGATGCGTGCAGATCGCGATCTTGATCTCTAAAGCTTCACTCATTCTTCGTACAGTAAAGGAACGTCATCGATTACGACACCTTCTATCATAGCCCCAATGGCTATTCGCGTTTGAAGATATCTTGTGTGGCCCTCCAGTTCTTTGATTAAGGTAATCCCGCTTTGCGACGAGCCTGTTGAAATGGATGCTTTGGTCTTCCGAGATACGGATGACATGATCACAGTCTTGGCTCGCTCAAGAAGCATCGTCTTATTCCTCGCAGTCAAAATCGTCAGGCGGAGGTAATTTGTTCGATGGAAAGTCGGAAATGTAACGGTTACCGTGTCTAGTCTTGCAAGGCGTGCGACAAAAGCATGGAGGTGGGCTATCAATGTTGTTAGCAAGTAACCAGGGTGGGAAGCTTTTTGAAGATGAGTAGATGCTTACATATTTGCTGATGGGGTATCCAGAATGGCCGCCTGCTCAGCAGCGTGATCCATTACGCCATCCTTGTCCTTTGCAGGCAGCGCGAGGAGTTCATTCCATTTGTCCTTTGTGTCCTTTTTCAGAATCCCACCCAGTCTCACCTTTGGCAGATCCTTTACAAATGGCCAAGCGAATGTCATGATCCAGTCGACCATTGTACGCTGACAACAGACAAAGCTGACCATTATTGACTTATCGACATGACGCATCCCATAAGGATAGTAAGTGGCTCCGTCGTCTGGGCTTCGAAACCAAAGCTGAAGACTTGACAGTCCATCCAATGTAGGGAGTATAGGTCCAAGAGACACACCGTTATTCATACTAATGTTGTCACGAAATCCGACGCCGAAGAAACTGAACCAATCGGACATCGTGAAGTCGAGAATGAGATGATTGAGCCAGTTATAGTTCGGTTTGGTACCCGCCTCAAGAACTGATCTGAGCTGAATCGGTGAGAAGAAGCACTTTCGAGTGTCCTCCCAGCCAGCTTGAAGAGCCTCACCATAGGTCTGTCTGTTGATAGACAAGAGCGCAAGATTGGGCTCGTAAGCGGAGCACCCTGTAACTGTGTGCCCACGTCCATACAGCTGTGAGGGGTGGCGTTGATCGATTTGACTGCTGTCATGCCAATTGCGGAAGCCCAGGCCGAGACGGACCTCAGCGTCCTTGAATATAGTCAAAGGATAGATTCTAGGACCGAGAGCAAATTCGAAAACCTTCATGCGCATTTCGGTTGGAAGGTCGGCAAGCCGGAAGTGCTTCCCATTGAGCTTCCACCATCTGCGCTGCGCCCTGTAGCCCCTCTCGCCAACCAAGTCTTCAGCGGGCGCCTGGCTGGAAAGCAGCCAGTCTTTCAACAAGATCCATTCTGTACCGATCTTTAAGTGTAGATTATCCTCTGTCGGACCGGGCATTCCTGGGGAAAAGGTTACCCAAGCGGTGAGGGGAAACTCATTGAATCTATCCATGAAGGTATATAGTTTGCTGCAGTACGTAGTGTAGTCGGGTAAGACCAGCCAGAACGGCGGTGAGATGTCGGTAGGTTCTACTCGGAAATGCATGTCTACGACGCCGATGTGGTGCGCACTCATGTCACGAATAAGAAGTGTAATGTACCACATGATTGCGTCGTTCTGACGAGGGGCCGGTTCGAACTTGTACGTGTAGTTGTCCGGTAGGCAGTTGAGCGATCGTAGTTTATCGGAGGGTGGCGGACAGCACCGTACGCTGTTGAGGCGGTTGATGGACTCTCCTTTTCCACCATCCGCTATCGCCATGCGTTCCAGAGCGAGTATCCGGGTCTCCAGGTAAGGAGTTTCTGACGACATTGTTGGTAACGTTCGTATGTGGAGGTAGAGGTTGAGGTAGAGGTTGAGGACAAAGATGCTAGTAATGCTGATCAGTGATGCGGGCGCAAGTATTGACAAGAGGCAGGAGGAGTTGGCGGATAAATAGTCCAGTCAGCGCTTAAAGTGAATAGACCAGTAGGCTCCAAGCAGAGAATCATATCAAGAGAAGGTCTTGGAAACCGGAGCTCCTAATGCGGTCAGTGCGCCCATTCTCGCTCGAAGCGCATGATGGAAGTTGCAGGCGCAACCGCCGAGGTTTCCTGACCCTTTTCGTTGAAATGCTTTTTCGTATAGGTACAGTATAGGTCACTCAGATTGCGACTGGATTGGTGATCTCTGAGAGGAAGACCATGTTATCGTCTCTGGGTTGAGTTTACCAGCCATCATGCAGGCGAGCACACTGAGCAACGCGCCGCCAAGGCTACAAAGAATAACAATTAGATTGGTCAAGGACGGACGTTGCTCAAGCGGTACGGTGAATGGAGACCACTCCAACCCCCAAAAACGCCTCGCTATACCAATGGCCCAAGATTGATTGAGCTGCCTTGCACTATACTCACCACAACAGATAAGCGCCGACGAACAATGAAGCTATGGAAAGCCCTTGACTTCTCAGAATATGCGCCGCGCTGGTACCCTCTGTGCCACAGCACGACTGCTCATTGTACGTGACGTTGTTGGCCGTCGCAGCAACCTGGAAGACAGAGCCATTAAAGTTGCCATAGTTGTAGTAGTCGACGAGTATCCAATTCGGCGGACGAGCCCACATTTTCTCGCAGTTTTGTACGTTAAGGCCAACGCTACCGTTTCCAGACACAGCATTGATCTCATCGAGGAGGGAGTATGCTGGTATGAGGATGCTGCTCACGCCTGGGAGACTGACTTCGATGTTCAGGTTGTGGTTCATCACGTACATGCGCTCGCGTGAGACTTCTTCTGGCTGATTTGGGGGTCGTTGCTCCGTACAAGGGAACGCGGGATCGGTTGGCGAAAAGGGTGTTTGCCACTGATAGTTGAATTCGCTGAGCAGCCACGGGACTTGTTCCTGGTCTGCGCCATAGTCCAACATCACTACGACACGCTTATTCCTAATAATCATCTCGGCCAATGTGGGCCAGTCCGTCAGGTTCAGACTAGCCGAAGGCGGTGTCCATACGTATTCCATAATTCCTGAGTTTTGAAAAGGTGCAATATAGTCTGTCGCTGGGTTTCGGGTATCCTGACCGTTGTTGTTGCCCATCATGATAGCAATGACTTCGAACGGGTTCTGGTCGAGCCAGCCTTTGACTGTTGCGAGGTATGATTCGAGGGTGCCCACGTCGAGCAGGCTGCAGGAGGTATGGCAGAGGCGTATAGCGGAGGTCTCGTTGGGTTTTTGGGTCTCGAATTGCACTGTTGTTGAACGTCAGCAGAGTTTTCTAATATCGTGTATGATGCGCTTACACCCTCGAATTCCATCATTGAGCTGATTAAGCACTGGGTAGTCTTGGTTGCTGGCTGCATTGTGCGGCCTCACGAATGGGCTGTTATGTGCGACGACCATAGAGATGTTGGAAAACCTCCTCTGGCAAAACTCGACGTGTCCATTGCATGGCTGAGTATTAGTCGGACTTGGACGAGCAGATGTCGTGGTTGTTGAAGCAGTGCCGTTTGAGGATTCGGTCGAAGGTGACAGCCCGACTATGGCTGTCACCTCTTGTGTTGTCGTTGACGAGGTAGCGGTGGCATTCTGCCGTCCGGAGGTAAATGTGCTCAGGACAATGCCCGGGAGACCGCTCGAGAAGTCGGCAGAGTAGGTGCTCGTAAAGGTACTGGAGACATCGACGATCGTTTCGGTAGCGCTGCTAGGTATAGGTGTGTTCGATGCGGAGGAAGAAGAAGACTGTGCGGTTATAGGTATTGTAAGTAGGGCCAAAGGGAAGAAAAACAATGTAGGAATCATGAGGGCGATGCGATGCGAAAGAATGACGAAGTGGCAGTTAGCATATGCTATGCAATTTCGGCATACAACTGATGCTATGCGCTGTACTTATTGAGAGATGAGGTCAAGACAGTCTGCCTCACCAGCACTACGTTGGTGGTGCACCTTAGCTGACATTCGCCGGAAAGCACGATGACGGCATTGCTCGCCTCGAACGCCATCACACGTTGTGTCGGATCTACGCGGGGAAGGCTGAATGCGACCATCTCGAAGGTCTATCCGTCCTGGGGAACGCCTTTCGCGTTGATCGGAGATTTATGGGTCCAATAGCAGCCACGCAATGGTTTGACGTAGTAGACATTGACTGCAGTAGGGCTGGCGTTGGCAGCAAGAGGGCTTGTGGCGGTTTTGGCGCACGCAGGTCTGAAGAGCCGCGTCGTGAGGCATTTTGACGCGTCATTAGCCTCAAAGACTGCGAGCCACGACCGGTAGGATCATTGAACGATGAAAAGAGTGCTGGATGCTGATCTCGCTGTGGTCGTTTAGAGAAAGGCTGGGGTCGAGTACGCGACATGGAAGACGCCCAGCCTCGCTGACACGCTAACCCGCTTAAGCTTCAGGGACTGAGGGTCAAGCCTCACGGAGGTCCACCCCAAATGCTTCAGCCCATGAATGCGAGCTTTGGGCCGACTAGGCACACTACTTCCACCGGAGCTCCTGTCGGCTTTTTGCTCCCTAGGGGGTTTATTTCCTTACCAAGGTATTTTCGGAGGCATTCACACACGGCTCCTGGAGGGCACTCGGAGGGCTCGTTCTAGCCTCCCGAGGTCAACAACAAACAGCATGCCGGCCGAGCCTACTGAACAATCCGACATTGAAGACACAGGAATGGAATTTTAACCCGGAAAATAATCAACATCAATTGTCACATAAAAGTCGTGCTTCTTCCTGTCACCATTCTACTGATCCCAACAGCCGTAACATCGACCCGTGTCCACCTCACATCCGGATTCGCCGCAAACCTTCATCCACCATCTAATCAACGAAGAAGGCAATGCGCCGTGTACTCACACTAGAAGCCTGAACTTAGTTCGGGCAATCTCTCACACGAACACCCTCTTAACACCAACCTTAACACAACTCGGCGGATCTACCAAAAGCAGTCAGCACAGTCCCACCACCCCAACATCAACATCTACCGAAAAAGAAGAAAGCACCAAACTTACCAGGTTTCCCGACCCCCGTCCCCCACACCAAAGTCTGCCTAACATACCCTGTCCCATAGTACGTGAAGCAAACCCACCAGCGATAATACCCCGTCCACTCACCCATGCCTGGTTTCTCAGCCCCCCAAGTAATCGGATTCTGGAAGTTTAGTATGTCGTTGTTGTCGAAGGAGAGGCTACCGTCGCCACTGTAGGTCATGGCGAGCTGTGCGATGGACAAGGGGACGATGTCTTGGGGTTGGAGGAGCACGGAGAGGTCGATGGGGTAGGGGTCGTAGGGGATGGTCCAGGAGAGGATGCCTTGGGTGCCGAAGGTCTGGGCGGAGTGTTAGTGGCTGTGGGGACGGGGGCTGTGGGTTTCGTTTGGTGGGTGGTAGGGCTGGCGGGGAAAATAAGGTAGATGTGTATGGGAGGCTTACGTTTGTGATGGCAGTGTCTGTCGTGTTGTGGGTCAGAATAACGGGATACTGGGCTCCTTCTTCCGAAAGCGTGGGGCAAAGCGTGAAAACTGCTGCACCGGCATGGCATGCAGATAGAGTCTTGCCGTCCAGGGAAGGGTCTTCGGATATGAGGACGAGGTTGAAGGGGTCAGATTGTATGGTGTAGATGGGTTCACAATCGTATTCGCAATCAGCGTCAGCGTGAGTAAGAGCTGCGAAAGCGAGAAGGATAGGAACAAGTTTGAACATAGCGGCGGTAATCTGTACGGTGCGTACAGGTGCAAATTGAGCCAAAAAGCTAGGGAGAAAGGACGCTGGCTTATGGATATCTATAGAGGCGACCTTCGATCACATCACGATGACTGGCATCTGTCAGAACGTACACGTGGAACGGATTGCGCATGTCAAAAGAGTGTCATTATCTATTAGCATTAGTTACGTAGCACGTCAAGTCGTAAATCCCGATTGGGCCTTCCTTCCTCTCCCCTTTTCTCATCCAACCATTACGGAACAGATTTTTCCATCACAATCTCCCGCTCTAGACAAACACCCTCGTCACGTTAACCGAGACACAGGTTGGGTTGTCTGGCTTGCCCGCGCCCAATCCCCATGCCAGGTTGTTGTACCTGTAGCTGGCATAGTCCGTGTCGCAAGCAAACCAGCGGTAGAATTCCTGGTAGTTGCCTGTGTTGTTCTCGCCGCGGACATAGCCCTGATACGTAAGTTCGTCCTGGGAGTCGAAAGCCAGCATAGTCGTATCGCTTCCGCTTCCGGGGCTGAGGGTGATGCCTGCGAGATTGGAAGTCGGGTCAAGGTTGAAAGCCGCTGATGAGGGAATGTCGAGGGTGGTGGTGTTCAACCACCAGGTCAAGATGCCTGGTACGCCGAAGCCGTCCTCTGGTGCTTGAGAGTAGACAGATGTGTTGAATTGGAATTGTGCGCCGTCGAGGGGTTCTGGGCTGTCACCTACGCCAGCATTGCTGAGGCAGAGTGATTCGATGGCTGCACCGACGTGACAGGCGCTTAGCGTGTCATTGACCTTTCCGTCTTCGGATGTGACGACTAGAAAGAATGGTGCAGAGCTGATGTTGTAGAACGGATCCTGTGCGCTCGTAACGGCAGCTGCTGCAAGGGTGAGGGCGATGGATGAGGTTTTCATTTTGGATGATGTCGGTTAATCTCGTAGGTGGTCGATGCAGTGATAAAGTCTGAGGTATGCTAGGCGTTGATCGAGTATGTAGGAGCTGATGAGTGCAGTTTACCAGCAACGGCACGGTCGAGCTTTATACTCACGATCATCCCTCGTAGTCGCCGTATTCGCGCAGCCTCATCGCAGCTCCCTCCAAAGGTTCCACCTGCGCAGCAGTCATGTGTTCCACCATAACGGGCCCCAGCCAGCCCATGACGTTCCGCTACCCGTTAGCTTTGGCCGCCTTGCCACACCCACGATGATCCTTTCCAGTCGGCTGCGTTCGCTCCGTATGCAGTACCGCACGGCATGCCCGATGAGGGTCAGCGCAACTCAATCAGGGCAGTTATAGAGCAACCCCGCGCGTTAGCGAGCGAAGCTTTCCCCAGCCTGCCGGATAAGTCTTGCATAAGTGCCACAAGTGCCACAGCCGCACAGGGCCTCAGGGTGCATGTAGCGTGAGGATCAGCTGTCAATACGAGGGTCGAATCGATAGCTCAGTACCGAACCTGCAGGTGAAAAAAGTAAAGGTGCGGCGAAAAAGCTTTGTTCGTGAGCGTGAGCAATATGAGAGGCATCATAAGCACTGCTTTGGAAGGCTGATTAAGCCTAGTACGAGGAAGTATATAACAATGCTCGTGATATGCTGATGCATTCAATATTGTGTTAATTGTGCACCCTCGTACGATGAAGATGATGGTGGAGAGTAGTACGTTGCTCCCCGTCAATGACGCAAGGGTTCAGGCCGGTTGTAAGCCGGAGTTACCCTGTTAGCGTCAAAGCTTATCGATTCTAAACTCGCCGGAGGTGTGACATCGTCTACGGCTTCAGATTTACACCCTCACACCAACCACGAGATGAATGGCTGCGATCGGGATAATGCCTTCGCGATGGTCGCCTTGATTCACTACGCCTCCGCCAGCACCTTCCGCATACGAACTGACCGGTCGCAACACCTAATAATATACAGAGCGCCGGACGCGTAGAACACTAAGAACAGAGCTACGAAGCCATTCTCGAGCCACCGTTGCAACTCTATACTCCTAGGGCGATGTAAGAGCTTACTGTTACACACTACAAACCGTATGTATGCTCGAGGACCTTATCCTATTGACAATAGCCGCTGACTAAAGACAGACGCAGTGTCGCAATAGCCCTTTCGATCAACTATGATGCAACCACATGGCACGCACTCCTCGTATACGCGCAACACATAGCTTCGTCATGTAACCAACACCGGCAGCCGATAAGCCACCACACTAGCGATGTCTTGCTCCGCCATCATATCCACTGGCACCCAGCGCAGTGGCCGGCTCGTCGTCAGCATGTGTGCTCCTCCTCTCGGCCGAGTCCCGCGATACACCCTCATAAGCAGGTTTTGGTTGCGTCCAGTACCAAAAGGCCCATGTGATCCAGCAGAAGATGACATCGAATCCCACGCTGCTCACTGCTGGGTGTTCTAGCAGAGCACTTTGGATTCCTACAAAACCACCATAGGCATACGCTGTTGCGGTAGTCCATGCCAGCATCAGTCCTGCATTCCCTAGGACCAGTGCCCACATGTAGCTGTAGACCTTGTCGGTGAATTGGATATCCTCGGTGAAGGATGAGGCCGGTACAACAGCGCGTGCAATGGGCAAGAGCATCAAAGCGATGTGTGGAGCCATGAGCACCGGCATGAAGTGTGTAGGGTGATGCCAGTAGTGTTCGTCTGCTAGTTGCATCGCGGGATAAGCAGTTGCGAAGATGGCGAAAAGGTTTAGGAGCCATGGACCTAGCCACGTTTGCCGGCGCGAACCATGTGACGATGCAGCTGGTGCCGGCAGGCTCAGCAGTAAGGTGAGCATGAAGAGGTTTGTAGCAAAACTGATGGCCACAATCTGGCCAAGCAGCATGAACGCCCAAGTATATCGAATGCCGCGACGTATTCCTAGATATATTAGTCATAGTTGTCAAGTAACAAGTATAATCTTCTACCTTTCTGCTCCAGATACAACCCCAGACCCAATGCGAAGAAGAAGATCTGGTGTGACCACCAGTACCTCGCATATCCGATGATGACAGTCTCCCATGCCTCTCGAAACAATGAAGTCTCTTTCAACCACAAACCCCAGTGATTCTGGTCAGGTTCAAGCTCGTAGTAGCTACGCCACATCAGCCAAGACTGATAGCTGACCTTAAAGTACTGGAACATGTGCGTCCATGTTGTGAGCAAGCTGCCCGCAGCAAGTGCACTGAATAGCCAGACATGTCTTCTCGGTGGGAGCTGTGCAGTAGTTGACTTGCGCAACACGCTAGCTCTTTTCGCAAGTCTCAAGATGATGAAGACCGCGACAGAGAAGCATGTCAACAGATAGGAGAAGAAGATGGCATAGGGCCGGGTGTTGGTATCGGACCCTTCTGGGGGCGGTTCGCGATGCATGGAGCGGTGCGGGACAGAGTATCCAGGCGGCCCGAATCCTGGAGGGGCCATCGTGAGACGATTTTCGGGGTTTGTTGGGCAGCCATCACGTACAGTATGCTCTCCAGCCTTTATGGTGCCGTCGACAGTGACGAAACGTGTCAATTGCGGATCAAAGGGCTCTTCTGCTTTGCCGGCAATGTGTATTGATTAACGGCTATCTTGGGACTGAGCTCCTAGGATGCGGCCGCGGTCGGTTGTTGCGCCAATGATGGCGTGGCTGACGCAGGGATGGCCAACCTCCGCAACACGTGCCCAGGTGCCTCGGTGCCAAGGCGCCAGTGAGATCGTCATGTTTTCCCAGGTCCGTCGCGGTCTCGTCTTCGAAGATGCTCGTCCCTTGTTTTGCTTCAAGTAGCTTTCCTCCCCTGTGCTAACCTTCGCTGTTGCTCTCTCGCACATTCTCCTACTCTGTCACGACAAACTGCAAACGCCAAACCTCACAACACGGTGATGTCAGGCACACGGACCATTTGAGCTTTGCAAATCCTGATTGGCTGTTGTTTCATCATTTGGACCTCACCGCCACGCCCAAGCTACCAGACGCCCAAGTTGCGTAGCTCCGTCGATATTTTCCAGTCATCTACTGTGGTGTTTGAACATTCATTGAAGCTGTCGCCGCGATGACCGATACACCGCAGACCACGGCGGGTGCCAACCCCAAGGAAGCCAGGGTCCTAGAGCAGCATCTAGACCCAAGCTTCGACTTCTCAGAGTTTGACCCAGCGACGCCAGCGGCAGAAGAGGGCGCAGATAACGCCTCCAACTCAGGCGACCGCCAGCTCCCGGAATCATCGTTGCGGTTACAGGGTGGCGACATCCACCGCGACCTGTACAAGATTGCGGCACAGAACAGACGGCAAAAGTTACACCAACGAGCAGCAACCTTTTCTGATGCAGTCCACTTTGGCCGCAACCCTGCTCTGTCAATTTCAGACGTTGACCATGACGAACTACCCGTTCGCGACCAGCTCGCGCCCGGCGGCCTGAGACGCCAATACTTACAACGGCAAAGCAAGCGTGTCAGCTACATCTCGGAGCCTGTTACGCGAAACTTCATTTCTTTCCTTGAACTGTATGGCCAATTCGCCGGTGAAGATCTTGATGAAGATTCGTCGGATGCGGAATCTGCCGTTGAAGAGGAAGATGAGGGGCAAGGCGAGCGGAGACCACTTCTCGGACGACGACAGAGCTCGAAGAGACTGAGGGCTCAGGGTGATGCGGATCAAGTCAAGACCTTCTTTACTCTCCTGAAGGCGTTCATCGGTACCGGAATCATGTTCTTGCCCAAGGCCTTCAAGAACGGCGGCATGCTGTTTTCATCGATCACCATGATCATGGTTTCTGCTATTACAGCGCTGTGTTTCGAGTTGCTGCTAGCGACAAGGAAGAGATATGGCGGTGGTGGTTATGGTGATCTGGGTTCTATCGTTGTGGGACCGAGATTCCGCGCCCTCATTCTGGTTTCCATCACGCTCTCGCAAATCGGCTTCGTATGCGCTGGTCTCATCTTTACTGCCGACAACCTTCGATCGTTCCTGGATGCTGTCACTCACGCCGAGGAGCCTCTCTCAACCAATGCGCTCATCGGTATCCAGATCGCTGTTCTGATACCCATGTCCTTCATCCGAAACATCTCCAAGCTCGGACCTGCCGCCCTTCTCGCCGATGTCTTTATCCTCATCGGCTTGACGTACATTTACTGGTACGATATCTCATCGATCACCAAGATGGGCGGTTTCAACCCATCTATCGAACTCTTCAACCCCCGCGACTTTACTCTGACTATCGGTTCCGCCATCTTCACTTTCGAGGGCATCGGCCTTATCCTTCCCATTCAGTCCAGCATGAAGGAGCCCGAGCACTTCAGCAAGCTCCTCTACATCGTCATGCTCATCATCACCGTCATCTTCACGTCCGTCGGTGTGCTTTGCTACGGTACCTTTGGAGAGAACGTCTCCGTCGAGGTCATCACCAACTTCCCCCAGACCAGCAAGCTCGTCAACGCCGTCCAGTTTCTCTACTCCATGGCCGTCCTCGTCGGCACACCAGTGCAACTTTTCCCCGCTATGCGTAACATTGAGCTCAAGATCTTTGGTCGCGCATCCGGCAAGCAGAGTAACATGACCAAGTGGAAGAAGAATGCCTTCAGGACGTGTCTCGTCATTCTTTGCGGTGCCATCGCTATCCTTGGAGCTAGCGACCTCGATAAGTTCGTTGCGCTCATCGGAAGCTTTGCCTGTGTACCTCTGGTGTACATCTACCCTGCCTACCTGCACTACAAGGGCGTCGCCAACCGTCCTTGGGAGAAGTTCGGTGACATCTCCATGATGGTTATCGGTGTCGTTGCCATGGTGTACACTACCAGTATCACACTTGCTAGATGGTCTGAGACCTAAGAACAGAAAGAAGGGTGGTTGGAAGAGTACAGAAAAGTCCCTTTACAGTACGGTGGAAGTAGCGTCACTATTGCATAATTTGTTTCTCGCACGGCGTTCAGGTGGATGGGTGAATGGGATGTCTTTGTATGGTATTTTTAACGCGCGCATGTTACAGTTATGTGTAACGATAATGGCATACTAGTACGAACTCGTCTCCTCGTATCTTGCCTGTGATGAGCTCTACAGCTCAGTTACCTCTCTCTCCCTCTCACAAACGTCTTACTACTGATCAACATTGAACGCCTCTTGCAACCTACGCCAGAACGGGAACGCCTCCCTTGATGCCCAAACCTCAAGAACGCAAATGATGACACAAGCTGCCTTAAACAGCCAGAGAAGCCAGACGGAGATGTCGCAAAGGTACCGCCAGGCGACGATCATTACCATGTCCATTAGTGTCATATCAACATCATCAGGCTCAACAGCCCCCAGCCATGCATTCCTAGCCTCTATCTCCTCTCTCGTCATCCTCCTCTTAACTTCCGCCTCCTCTTCCTCCCCCTCCCTAATACTCCTCTGTTCTTCCCTCTCTATCCCCCGCCAAATCTCCGCCAAATCTTCTAACCCTTCTCTCTTCATCTCAAACCACTTCGTTCTACACAGTGGACATTTGTTGCTATTCGGCATTCCTGATGCGAGCGACTTGCGCAGACATTGGTATCCGAAGATATGGTTAACGCAGTGTGGTGTGTTGGTGATGAGAACGGGTGCGTGGGAGCCGTGGAACGGGTCTTGGCAGATTCCGCATATCGTGCCTGGGGTGGGGTAGAGGGGGTGTGAGGGTAGGAGTGGGAGGAGGTTGCTGGCGAGGAAGGTGGGTAGGGTGGTTTTGGTGGTTTGGAATAGTGTAGGAGGTATGACACGCCTACGCTGACCTGGATTGGTTCTTGGTAAAGGGGTTGGGTCAAGGAGTGTTGCTGAGACGGAAGGGGGGAAGATTTCGGTTAATGATGGTGAGTGGTAATCTTCTGGTGTTTCAGCGGGTTCTGATTGTTGTATGGGAGAAGACGGGCGGTATAGATGGTTTGGGTCTATTTCTGGGAGGCGGTCGCGCCTGCCTCCTGGATAGAGATCAAGTGGTGAGATTCTCTCGTGATGGATCCAGTAGGGGCGGGTGGTCGGATGGCTTTCGCCTGTCTGGGGAGGGGGAGGAGAAGACATATTCGCAGGTTGGATAGTTGAGCGCTGTGGTTGCGGTGGGGGATGGTTATAGACGTTCTATACGTTGAGAAATATTCACTAGTGGATGAAACTGGGCTATGGAATGTGTAGCTGCATGGAGAAGTCTAGTCAAATGGCTCGTGCCCTGTCTTTCATTGCTTTGGCCTACTGCCTACATCACCGTACTACAGACCCCTCTCGAGTGATGAGAGCCTGCAGTTGAAGATTCACCTCAAGCTAATCTAAGTCTACAACGTGAGCCGAGAAAGAGAGATACCCAAGGAACCAGCTACACGCATCTAAACCGCGTTCTTCTCCACTTCTGCCCTCGGATCATCGACAACCTCCCACTCATCGTCCGCGTCGACCTTGTCCCATTCTTCTTCATCCGAGTCCAAGTTCAGTGTCTCGAACTCTTCATCGGGAACCTTCTCTTCGGGAGCCTTGGACTTATCTATAGCCAACACACTGTCCAGCTCGGCACGGGCAGCGGGTTCCGTTTGCACCGAAGCGAGGTTCTCGACTGCGAAACGCGATTTGATGAGTTTTGTGGTCTTCTGGCTCCTGACGGGCAACTGAGTCCTCCTACCTTCCACATCAGAGGGGTTGAGGGAGTATGTCGGCACATCGCGTTTGGCAGGTGTTGTGGGGGTTGTGCTAGTCGTCGGTCGCGCAACAATCTTGCTCTGAGCGCGCTCCGATTTCTTAGTAGAGGTGTCCGTCTGTGGTCCATTCCTGAGCATCTCCAAAAGTTCGGGGAAGGAGAGTCCGACATTGCCCATATCCGCGACCATTGTGTCGATCTCTGCGTCAGTGTATTTCCGCTGGCGAAGATCACGGATAGTTGCCAGGCGTGCTCTGAGGCCTGGTGAGCCGTCGAGTTGTGTTGATTCGTAGCCAGAAGCCCGAGATATGGTTTTTGGTGGGGCCTTTAGCCAGGCATCCGAGGCCGATTTGGGTGAAGTGTAGACATTAGGCTGGTAAGCTGGAGGCTCGTAAACTGTGGGCTTGAGAACTCTAGACTTGAGGGGTGTAGGCTCTCCGAAGACTGGCGGCTTATGTCTGTCACCAAGACTTCCAGTTGGTAACGTAGTCCTTGATGTATCTTTGGAGGCGGAAGAAGGAGTGCTGAAATCGACATTTGCGTCAGCAAGCTTGGCGAAATGAGGTCCATGTACCTCTCCCGTCTCCTGATTGATGGGCGCGATAATTTTCGCGGAGGTATTGGTAGCATTTGAAGGGGTATAGCCCCATGGCCAGGGCTGTGTGAGCCCGGGGAACCTTGCTTGGTCTGAAGTGCCTTCTTGGTTGACAGTCGTGCCCACCCGAGCATGGGACGTTGAGAACAAAGGAGGCTGGTCGGGCGTGAATATAGCCCCTGGTGGTTTTGTGGTTGATGCAGGCCGCGCTGACCGTAATGATCGTGGTGGCTGTTTTGTTAACCATGATGACCCTGGTGATAGTGGTGCCTGCGATGGCAGTGGTGACAGTGATGGCAGTGATGGCAGGGATGGCGGGGATGCCATGAATGAACCTAGTCGCGATTCGGGAGAAGACTGCACTGCGTTGCGAAGCTCGTGCTCCCTGGGTTGTCGTATCGGTTGGCGGTGAGAGACAAGAGAGGGCCCAGCTGTGGAGGAAGCACGCACGAGAGGTCGATATGTTGACGGAGGTCTATTCCAAGGGTGCTCTGGGTCATGGGAGCGTCGTATGGTAAGCGACGAGTAGCTGGGAGGGTCATCACAGTTGAGCATTTCCCGCCTGCGCCCAGGAGGATTATTGGGAAGACTGTCTTCCGTCGGACTTTCGCAGCCCCATGTAGTTTCCTGCATGCGCCCAAGAAGAGAAGGATTGTCGTCCGCTGGAATTCTGGGGTCTCTTGAAGGAGATATGATTTCAGAGGTAGATGAGAGGTGGTGAGTGGCGTGGATGTGTGGGAGTGACAGAAGTGGAACTCTGATGGCGGAAGTGCTGCTTTCAAGTAAAAGCTTTTTTGAAGTGAAATATGACCAGAGCAACCAAGGAAAGGATATGTGCGACAATGTGGCCGAGAGGGGCGTGGGAGGCAGCAAAAAACCACGGACCAGCGCAGTTAATAAGCGGTGCACCGTAGGGGTTTGGCTCAAGGCCAGCATTTGGTGTCATATTTTGGTTCAGAGGGGCGAGGAGCCACTGGTACCTTCCAACCCCATGCCAATTATCGTTCTCCTCGTTTCAATTGGATCTTGTATACGTACGCATGACTACAAGAACTCAACGCTCCAGGGGAGATCTTTGATTGCATACATTGAAGGTCAGTTGCACACAGGAGTAAACGCGCTCTTGAGGTCTACTTAGACGCGCTCCATGCAGCGACGGCACTCCCAAGTATGTGGCTGGATAGCTCACTTCCATCCTCGAGCGCGAATACCGAAGGACGCGATGAGTACAGGAGTGAAGGTAGCTAATCGATAGGCCGAAGCGAAGAAGTAGCGACAAAGACAGCCGGGTGGTCAGTGTTCAACGGCTACAGCGATCGTTTGGCGGGCCTTTGCCGCGTGCTATACTTAGCCACCACCACCGACACAAGTAAGAGAGGGCTTGAATATGCGATATCTCGAGTAATGATAGCAAGGCTAGATAGTCAGGCAGAATGCAACGCAGTGCACCATGGTGAGCGATGATGCAGGTGTCGTCCCAAAAGGGAGAGGCGGGCTTGGCAACGCTATGGCCAGCGCGATGGGCGGCCCACTCGATTGTTTGGATTCGTCCCGCGTCACAACATTCAAGGTCCAACACCCCAACGCCCCGACGACGACCTCCCCCGGACTGCCCTTTTGCCTTTGGCGTTGATATACACGACTGAATTGCTTCGAGACGACATGCTCAGCTAACCTAGACGACACCTGACCTTTACCCGGAACGCGACTGCCAGCACCGCGACGCGCCCAACCACCCGCACTTACTTCTACCTTCTACACATTCGCCATGGCTTCCCGCACAAAGGCACCCACTGTAGGGTCCGCTGGATGGATCCTCGAGGAGCGCCATCAATCCAACACGCTTGTATCCCAAGAATTGGAGGATTTTGGCTTCTCTGTGCGCAACGAGCTGGAATGGCTCAACGAGCACATGTTCGACATTTTGGCCAGCGACAGACCGTATGTCGCGTCTACCTTGCGTCAACACGCGCCAGACTGACTCTCCGGTAGACACAACCTCGATGTCTTCAAGACACCCGGCAAATTACGCGGCAAGACGCCTCGCACCGCGCGAAAAAAGGCGGTCGATCGCCAGGTAAGAGTTTGCGCGTCGCCTTCCATCCCATACTAACATCAGCCAGCCTCTTGCCAGCATTAAGTCCGCGAACGCGCAGAAACGCACAAGCGCCGCCGAAGAGAGTCTACGAAACGTCAAGGCTAGATTCCAGATCGCCGAAGACGCAGAGAACACGGTTCGCCAATCGCCTACCGTCGCCCGCACGCCCATCGCGCGACAGCTGTTTACTAAGCCCGAGAGCGCCGGCAAGGAGAACGTTGACACTAGCTTCCAAGCGAATGTATTCGATAAGCGCCCAGCACAGCCTCTTGCACCAGCATGGAACCCTGTCCAGTCCTCGCAAGAGACAGTAATGACTTCAGAAGCCAGCGAGGTCTTCTCACCGCCACAAAGCTTCTCAACACAACCTACACAGCCCACTCAATCCTTCCGTCATTCGATACACGAAAAAGAGGAAGACCGCGACACTGGCGATTCTTTCGTCTCTGCAAATGAGGCTTTCGCGAGCAAGAATGCCTCGCGGGAAGCTTCGCGCACAA